CCAAAAAAAAAAAATTGTTTTTTTTTTTTTTTTTTTCCCAAACAGACTCTCCCCGGCACCCGGCACCCACCCACCAGGAAATCACTCCCAAACCCCCCCTCCGAGACCACGTACGGACGGCCGGAAGTTCGTACGTACGGCCCGTACGGGCAGCCGAGGTCCCATACGTACGGTCGTACGGGGGTGCGTACGGGCCGTATACGTATGGACGACCACACAGAACCCGACCAGCGACTCCGCGATTGCCCCTTTGGGCACTCTCGCTCTTCTAGCTGTCGTACGCTTCTCGACCTCTCAAGCTTCTTTGAAAGCGGGGTGAGGCATACTTCCTTGCAGTCGCTTGCCGAGCCCTCTACTTCTCGTGCGCGAACACTGAATGCGGCTTCATCTTTGCCCTCCAAGTTCTTCGAAAGCGGCCTCGCAGCTGGTCTTTTACCGTACTCACTTCTCCAAGGCGAGTTGTGGCAGGCATCTTCGCGCTGGCCCACCGAAAGCTCTCTTATCTCCCACGTGCGCCGCTGTGCGCGGCCTCTCGATCGGCCCCCTTTGAACTCGAGTATCCGCGCCTTGCTTCGTAACCGCACTCTCCCTTCCCGATCATGATTTCTCGTGCGCAGCCCTGTGATCGCCCTCCGAACGCTGTCACGTGCCACCTCTCAAAAAACGTCCTCCCCTCTCGAGCGAGCATTCCCTTGCGCTGTCTCGTGATACGTCCCCGACCGCCCCCCCCTTTTTTGAAAGCGCTCCGTACACGACCTCGTCCCTCTCTCTCGTCCTCTCGTACGTCCCACGTTCGACTGGTATCGCTTGCCTGCCAAAAAGCCTACCTCCGTCTCTCGCACTCCCGAGCGCCCCCGTCCGTTTCCGAGCGCTTTGCGAGCGCAAGTGTACGCCTCGTGCGTACGTGCGTCTTCCTCGAGCGCGAGTACTCCTCCCTCTCCTCTCTGTCCTCCCTTCTTTTTTTGTCGCACGTCCCGCCTTCCTTTTATACTCTTCTCCTCTTTCCTTTCTCCCTCCTTCTCCCCCGTTCGTATGCAAGACCGACCAAAATTTTCACAATTTTTGTCTCTTCCCGCCTCCTTCTCTTGTTCCCGCTGACCCTCACTTCCATCCTCTCATCCGTCCTCTCTCTTCCTCCTCCAATGAGATCTTCCTCAGGCCCGCCCTTCGGATCAACCTTGGCCCACACTCACCTCTCAATCCCCCCTTCCTTCCAAGAAGTCATGCGCTTTTCTTTCTCTATCCGCTTCCCGTTCATACTAAAGTTCATCCCTCCCTCGCGCCTCGCCCGGCTTGCCTTCTAGCGTTTTCCCGCTGGAGATACTAACCACCCTCGGTAGTTTTCCCGGCCAGGTACACTGCAAGACTTAGTAACAGCCCGGCGTTTCGCCTTCCTTCCCGCACCCAGCAGCTGTCAAGGGGACTGCAGCCCGCGCTCCCCTTCGTTCGGTCATAGAGACGCGCTCGTTCGCCCCACCCCCTTTCACACGATCGCCGAGGCATTTCCCCTTATTTACCTGTCGGTCCCTCGCGATTTGTCCCTCCTCGCAGTCTGACAAGCCCTCCGATCAGCCAATCCAGAACCTTAGATTGTTCAAGCTACTCCTCAACAGGATTCGGCAGATAGGCGACCCTGCCTTCTTGCAGCTCCTATCTGGACGTCTCTTCACCTTCCCCCCCTTCGAGTGGCCGGATCGATGGACACCGACGGAAGAAACCAGTCCCTTCCTGTCGAAACCTCCCTGATCCACCCCGTTTTGTTTTTTTTTTCATCTGTGCTGTCCACACCTCCCTCCTTCCTCTCGCTCCGCTTTCCCGCCCGTTCTATCTTGGATCTTCGAAGGTCTCCTTCTCCCAATTATCTCTCACTGATCCTCCACCGTCCTCTTTTCTTCAATCACAGACTTCTCTGGGGATCACTTGCCTCCCTCCGCCGTCTCCACTTCCGTGATTACTGCCTGGGACCCATCTCACGCGCAGCACACAGCTATCAAGAAGAGCGAGTACGCGCCCTTCTGCAACCGATCCTATGATGTTCTTTGTTCCGCCCTTTCGTCCCGGCCAGTCCCCTGCTCCCTTCGTCGCCGGGCCGGGTTGCTTCTCTGGCCCCGCCAAAGTCAACCCTCGACGGTTGAAGCTACCAACCCGTTTCAACTTGTTTTCCGTCCCTTGTTCTCTTTAGTCCCTGCGTTCGCTGTGCCCCGATGCCGTTCCGCCTTCTTCCCAGCGGCTTTTCTGTTTCGCCTCCCCCCCTTTTTCTCATTGGGGTCATTCCCTTGATTTTCTCCGCACCACCGCCCGTTCCATCAGGCGAGACCGCAGTAGTTCAGGTGCCGCGTGCCGCGTGTTGCCCAGGGCCGGGTCCCTCACTGGCCCCCCCTATCTTTGACTTCTCACAAGGTCCGCCTGGTTGTAAGCCACCGAGCCCCGGTTCCCGAGCTTGGGCCCAAAGCCAGCTGACTCTCCCTTGTTGTCTTGAAACCTCGGATCTTCGGTTCGCTCTCGGCACCACTCATGACCTTGCTTCGACACCTTCACCCCTGCTCGTTTCGATCGTTAGTTTAAATCAAGAGAACCCCAGATCCCCTCTTTCCCCGCAGGCCCCATGCACTCCATGCATCCAAACATGCAAAAAGAGAAGAAAATACGACAAAAGGATACGCCTGGGTGAAAAGTGACGGCTCGGCTGGTGGCCAGCCGCCCGACAACGGTAGCCGTTGGCGGGGGCGGAGCACGGGGGCCCGAGCAGGGGCGGGTTGGCGTCCGTAGTGGACCGTTGGCTGGGTTGCGGGAAGCAGAGGATGTGCCCGCTGCTCTACGCCTGTCTCTTATACACATCTAGATGTGTATAAGAGACAGGGGCGGAGCACGGGGGCCCGAGCAGGGGCGGGTTGGCGTCCGTAGTGGACCGTTGGCTGGGTTGCGGGAAGCAGAGGATGTGCCCGCTGCTCTACGCTGCCACAGGAGAGTATGCACGCCGGAGCCAAAGATGCGCCCGCTGCTCTACGCTTCTACAGGAGAGTACGCACGCCGGAGGTGAAGATGCGCTCGCTGGTCACAACTCGCGCAGACTCGGAAGATGGATACCGACGCCGAAGGGTTCGACAGCGCCGTTTTTTCTACGTCACACGCGTCGCCTGGCCGTCGTCCTCCACCCCGCCACCCTGCGTCCGCAAAAAAATGAATTTGAATTTTTGAACTTCTGGCTAACCACGCTTTTCACCGACCCATCCTCACCCGCCGACGGCCCACCGCAGTGTGTACCACGGACACCAGCCAGGAATGGACGGACATTGGCGACACGGCTGCTTATATGCATATGAAAACCGACCGCTTCCCCCCTAAATTCTGCCCCGTTGTCTGTCAGAATTTCCTCGGTGTCTTAATGCATCCCGAGGAAACGGTTGACGTATCGCGCGATTTCAACCGCCTGTCGCGTTCAGCATGGATACCTCGCGATCCATTTTGAAAAATGRTCCACAAATAGAATTGAATACTCGCAGCTATTCGGTCCAGAGGGCACCATGAT